GCTGACTTGTTCATTACGCGCCGTAATATTTCGCCTGTACAATTTTCTGGGCATGTTTTTTTTTTTTTCAAGTTTATAGATGCTTGATACGTTAAAAGAACAGTTCACCGGCAAATTGTTACGTGCGGCTGTTTGGGCCACTGATGACCCTAAGTCGTTCTTCCTGATGCTTGCTGTTTGCATGACGCCTTTTCTGTTGCTCAGTGCTTTGCTATCGTGGAAACTCCGCGGCGCCATAAAGGTATCGCTTTGTTCTGATTTTTTTTTTTCAAACAGCCAGCAATTTTGTTTGCAAGATCGTGAAAAGCCTGGAACTGCGGTAGAATGATCACATTTAAAACTTATTGCTTTTTTCTCATGCATTTTTGCAAGTGCTTGTGCAAGAAGTGTTTGTTTTGTTTAAAAAGCTGACGTTTTTAAAGTCACTTAGTTTGCAAAAAAGAATTGCCACGGTCGTTGCTTCAGAACGTTTGGTTCGGCCTATCAACGGCGGAGAAAAAATTTTTGGTTCGGCCGCCTCACTTTGACCGTCCATTTTTCATTCGGCCATCTACTGGTCCTTACATTAGTTTAACATCTCTAGATTATTACAGTTGGGTAAGAAGTTTTTGAACTGTATATTTTGTACTGACACGCATGGTACTGAAGTTTTTATTACCACCCCTTGATTACCACAACTCTGATATTCCTATTTGAAATGACCACTGCTTGGTCGGACCTCCATGGCTCCTTCTTCCCTTTCTATTTCGTTTGTTTCAGGAAGAACGCAAACGTAAAAAGCTTTCGAAAAGCAGTTCACGCAACAAAAAAAGACAATAGTCGTTTAGTTTTTTCCCCCGTTACTTCATCCTCCAGGATCGAATTGTGTGCGATGCTGTTGTATATTACTGGAGTTATTAAGAACAATGAACTGGGGATTTTTCTGTGCATCTTACGTCCGGTTATAGTTTAGCGACAGTTAAAGGCAGTCTTACTGAGTGAAAACTAGAAATAGTACTTGCTTTAAGAGAAAAATTTATAAGCCGAGGTCTGAAATGAATTCCATTCTATACTGTTTTCGTCCAGCCCTCCTTCAGAACAGATTTACTTCGGGAAAATTCTACTTCCCCGCTCAATAACTGCCCTTGTAAGTTAACTACATCAGCAGAAATCATCGTTTTACATATTATTACTCTTTGGCCTACAACTTTGTTGATGTATTCTTTTTAATCAGTTTTATCACTCATATATAAATTCACTGCACAAGAAGAGTATTGGTGAGCGTTGCACATTAGTGAGTGGTACTTGCGAGAAAGAAAACGACCATTTGAGTAATCTTCGAATAGATACCCAACACATATCGAATAAGAGTGGGTGCTAACTGTAGGTATGCAGCCCAAGATCGAAGGGCCTGGCATGGCTACGCTCGGCATGTGGGAGCATCCCAGTAACATGAGATACTTAAAGTGGTGTCCGGGCGGTGTCCTTGGGATTCAAATTTCTCGATGCATGTGAAAATCTACATGTCACAAAAAAATTTTCCCTCTGGATGTGAATGTAGAAGTTATTGACGTCGAACATCGTGGATATTTATTTTGCTTTGTCTTAATTGTTTCCATTTAAAAAGTAGAATTTATTGGACAAGAACTTTATAAACATTTGTTTTACACCTTTTTAAATGTTTCATTGTAAGTTTTGAACAGTAACTGTAGCAGCCTTCGATACCAAAGTCATATTAGGTCAGCAAATACACTCTACAGTGGCGTAGAGATTGAAGAATTTTTTAAAACAATGTTAGTCAGGTGGAGAAAAGAGTTAAGCACGAAGTATACTTATCAGAGGCCTAGTTTTTATTTCCTGCTTTTCACAGGTCTTCCAGAAATTTAATCAGTTTTTCGGCAATTTTGTGATGTACAAATGTTGAGGGGTACCACTGATCGTGATACGCGTAGTTGTAGATTTCTCGTGACCTGAAAAATAGCAATGATAATCTGTCCAAAGTGTTTTGATGCGGAAATGCTGCACACAAAGCCGTTAAGTAAAAAGTGGGACATGGGTTTATAGATGAAAAGTAAGAATGCCATCTTCAATTTTTGCTTGAAAAAAAAAAAACAACGTACTTTCTCCAGTTGTAATGTAAATTTGTGTTGTCAGACTCTTTATATACATTATCCTATGTTTTTTAATGACCACGAAATATAATTTTGAAAATTGAAGCAATAGAATTTATGCTCTTTGTTGCTTGGGAGAATGGCATAGTCACAAATAAGACTGTGTTCCTGCTGGAGTTTGAGAGTTCAATTCCCCTGCCATTCGTTCATTCGTTTCGGCGATAAATTGGTACTGGCATATGCTTGGGAGTCATACCTGCCATCAGCTTGCCTAAGCAAGCCGTGAAAGAGGGAGCCATCTGATGATGCTTTTTCCCAACAAATGACCACTGTGAATACAGAAGGAATTTTGATTTTAACTTTTTAGGGGTTTTTGGAGAATTTTATGAATATAAAAGGCTTCTAAGAAATTTGTTGGCTAATCACAAAAATCGCTTCCAGTCTTTCCCTAGAGTTTGGTGGCTACCAAACCGTGCGGAAAGAGTGGAAGCCATTTTGTGTGATTAACCATCACTGCTTATCTTTTTTTCCGAGTCATATTTGGACCTTGATACATTTGCATTATTTTGTGTTACGTCTTGTCTCGAAGCAGGCCACCCTGCTTCGTCTCGAATTTCGGAGCATTTGTTGAGAAAGGCCAGTATGTGGAAAATTGCCAGCTTGGAATGATTTGTCTTCAGAACTTCTTGTGCTCATTCTGTCGGAAAGTTCGCTAGCACTGTTAACAGTTCTACTTGTAGCCTCTCCTTCGTAGACATTATAAGTTAAGGTGCTGAATTTTCGTTGCGCTGATCTTAAACGCTGTGAATCTTCGCTGTGCTTTTGTGTCTTTTGTGTTTCACTTTCCATGCATCAAGCGCATGATATTTGTGTATGCTAGTATATATGTGTCCTACTTGGCGATTGAATAAAAATGTGTGTCTCTGTGTGAACTTGGTCTGACCGAACACAGCTGAGCCATACTGGCTAAGCCAGGGATATTGTTATCTGGCTCTGTGTTGCAGAGCAAGTAATCTCAGAAAACGAGAAGCTTAGATTTTTAAGTTATGTTTGTATAAACGCGTACGTTAAGTTGGCACGTTGATGCGCGAATGGAGTGGTTATATTCATTCGTCGTGTTGCTTCCACGATTGCAGCATTTAGGTCAAATAGTCCAACTCGAGGATTTGTTCGTCCTTCCGTTAATACTAGTTTCCACAATTTCTGAACCAGTCATGTACTCAACATCATAAAGGAATTGCACACAACAAAACTTGTGCATTTTCCTCACACTTGTGATTTGAAGCAAACATAGCTAGGAATTAGTCGGAGGGATTGCGCGATGGCCAGAAAATTAAATTCAGATTTCTCGATGACCTTCAAGTTCTATTTCGACAAGTTATTTTGTTACGATTGTATCAGTTAGCCGACAAAAAAAAGCGATTAGTATATTCGAAGTGTTTGGTATATCCAAAGACGCCTTTCGCTAGACTCTAACTCATGCGTTTAGGCATTCCTGGACTGGAAGGTGGCAGTCAGTCCGAGTTCATAATTTCAGAATTTATCTGGCGTTTTTAGCAACAAACCGAATTGATCTTTGAAACTCTGGTAGACACGTCCAGCGTGTCATGTTCATCGTTCGCAAAACTGGCATAGCCAGGCGCTTCGCATGGATCGATCAAATTCATTACCACGATTATGCCTGAAAGATGTGCGAGTTCGCTGAAAACAAACAGTGGACATTTGAGACCGCAAGGGTGATAGAAGGCCTTTTTTTAGATGTCTTTAAAAATAGTTTTGCTCAGAACGGCTATTAAAAAACAGCAACTTTCCTCATGTATAGGACCCATCGTGGTCAATGTTTCGGTAAGAAGGCAGTGCAGCTTAGAAAAGTTTTTTGGTGATTTCAGGCCTTCCTCCTCTAGTCTCCTGGTCACGGATATTTTCAGGTTATATATCTGTAACTTTCATATCACTTAAAAAAATCCCGCTGTGGATCGGATTCTCTGGCAGATCTGAAAAAGGAAGGCAGAAGCACACTGTAAACATACTACCTCCACTTTTAATCATATTTTGTGATTTTTCCCCATTTTGGAGAGAAATTTTTTTTTAAAAAAACAAAAATGCGTTGTTAGAAAATGCAGACGGACCATCATCGACGTTGTCGATGAGTGCCAGAGCAGAGTGCGCCACGTTTTCGTCAATTTGTCTGTCGTCATGCGAGTTGTCATCAAGGTTCTCGTTTCGATGCAGTAACTCTGCTACTCCACCGGCTTGTAAGATTATTAACGAATCTGAAGATGATAAATGTATTTGCATCACAAATCCGGCAACAATCTTATCGGGTACGATGGATTAATGTTTGGGAAAAAGGAAATAATGATGTGTTTTGGTGAGGAGGAGGCCTTGACCTCATCGGGCCGTATAACTCGTAATCCAAAGGAAGCTTTGGAAGCATTCGGTCTTCCGGAACACAGAACTCTTGTGCATTAGCAACATGCAAAGAACTCGCACAGAATTGAAATTCTGGTCTCAAAATTGAATTCTGAATTCTAATCTCTATCCTAAAATTGAATTCTAATCTCTGACTAATCTCGTACAAAACTGAAATACCAGCAAACATACGAGGCTGTGTGGTTGGATGATTGATGAAGTGGTACTCCATCTGCCAGAGTATCCCTGACCAGCCCGAGAAGTGCACATTGTCGTAGCCACTTCTTGCTCCAGTATGCGCATAATTGGTGTACTGCAAAAGTATCACGCCTATGTACAAAAGTGGAACTAATACTTGAAAATATCCGCGATAATTGTGGTTTGGCCGCAAAAGAGCTTTTAAAAATTTTTACGAGTTCGAGAAGCTCACATCTCCAAGCGCCTCAGTTTACTTCCAGCCATACTGGGCATTAAGCAATCTCTTCCAGAAAATATTTTTTGCAAAAAAATGTGGGTCTGATCAAAGGAACACCCACTGATAAAGCGACATCGAATTACGCAAGCCCTATCAGTTCTGGTTCCAGTAAAAGCCTGTCACTGATAAAAGAGCCCTGTGTAAGAATGTTACTAGCTAAGGGATGAAACACAGACTACGTCATAAAATGTCTTCATACACATGACATTCAAATGAAATCATTCTATTCTTCTACTTCTATTGCTCCACTGGCCTAATGAATTAGCTTAACCTGAACAGCAATTCTCTGGATTTGAACGCCTAGGCACACCTTTGTCTTCAACGTATACACGCACATGTGTGCACGTACATTCACGTACACTCACGCATACCCAACTACACTCACGCTCACGAAACTGGCGCGATGAACCTTTTCGCATGAGAGCATTCGGCTCAGGTATTCCGACCACACCGGACCATTCGAATTTCTCAGGAAACCGTGCGAATTTTCTCCGAATTCGATTCCATCATCGGTGAAGTCATCGCCGAACACGATCAGCTGTGAGCATGGTACATTATGGGGCTGAAAACTACTAGTTCATGAAGTTATTACAATTTTCTGAACGGCACACTCTCCTGATCTGCAGATTGTTATGCCTATTTTTTTATCTAATTATTCGCCGTACTGGATTTACTCTCGTAAGTAAAACTATCATCAAATAAAAATTGGCCAACGCACGGGCTGCCCGCGCGAAGATGCGTTTTTTGCAGAGTTCCCTGCAGTTTT